CAGGGTTCAAAAAAGAACTAGATAAGTTCATGGAGGATAGGTCCATCAATGACTATTAGTCAGGATGGATAGGGATGGTGTCCCTAGCCTCTGTTTGCCAGAAGCTGGTATTGGGCGACGGGATGGCTCACTTGGTGATTACCTGTTCTGTTCATTCCCTCTGGAGCACCTGGCATTGGCCATTGTCGGAAGACAGGATACTGAGCTAGATGGACCTTTGGTCTGACCCAGTATGGCCGTTCTTATGACTTACAGCCACCGCAGTAATTACTGTGGTGGTGCATGTCCACACTACCCTCCTTGGGTTGGTTGTGCGCCTCCTCACTAGGAGTGCTTCTACCCACCTAAGAGGGGCAGTGTTGGGGAGCTGAGAGACTAGCAGCTCCCTGCCTGGAATGTGGCTGCCCCATAGTCTTCCTGGCTCCCAGCAGGCTGCTCCTCCTCCCTTGCCTCCCTGTTCCCCGCCAGGAGCAGGAAAGAAGCTGCCGGGGGCTTCTTGCCCCTGGAGAGCGGGGTCTAGCTGCCCCAGCTTCTTGCCCCTCCCACTCTCTGCTGGGAGAGGGGCAGCCACCATGGAGCCATGAAATTGACAAGACAGCCAATGTTCCCAACCCCGGGAGGGCCACCCAGACTTCTCGCTCCGGCTGCCAGCCAGGAGCAGGGTCCATTCTTGCCCTGGCTCCCAGCTGGGTACTCAGTCCAGTCACCTGGGCTTCTCGTCCCAGCTCCCAGCTGCGAGACCGATCCATTCTTGCCCCAGCTGGGAGCAGGGTCCAGCTGCCAAACGCTCTTGAAATTGACAAGAGATCTAACAGCTGATGTAAGTAGCAGTGTGTATATAGACACTTTATTGCCCTAACTACACTGACATAAGCCCTAGCCTCTCATGGAGGTAGAGTTATTATGTTGGGGTAGTAGGCTACATACATCGTCAGGACAAGGCTGTAGTGTACACACTGACATAAATAGGTCGATTTAAGCTGCCTTACGTCGATCTATCTGTGTAGTGTAGATCAGGCCTTAGAAACTGGCTTCACCTACCTTGGTAGCTGGCCAAAACTGGAGACTCAGTAAGGAGATTGGGGAAGCAGAGAGCAGACACAAAAGCAGGAGATCTGCGAAAAACTGGGAACTAGGGAAGACTGGTCAGGACTCTTATATGGAGTGTCCTTTCTCCTATTACCTTTTGTAATCCTTCAGTCTGTGAAGCTGATACAACTTGCCCTCTTGTACTGCTGGATCCTTCTTGGGCTGGAACCACCAGGGAGGAATGTAGAATGAGTTGGTATCTCTTAGGCCAGGAATCGGTGAGATCAGTAGCTTCATAACAGAGCAGGAATATTTGGTTAGGAGGGAGTGGGCATGAGAGTCACCCGCAGGATTGATGGGGGGATCATGTTGCTTCTCTTCATGGTCAGGTTGTTCAAGGAGCTAGGGGGTCAGAAGAGGGAAGAAGCGACATTTGGCATGAGGGTTGGACACTTTTTGCAGGAGGAGAGTGAATAATGTTTCCGTTGTATAATATGTGACTGTTCTGTACTTTGATGAGTAGTTTATCTCCACAACACGTATATATAATTCAAACTGAATACAATTTCATCCTTTCACAGAGAACATAGCAATTGGATACCTCCAAGCTTTTCATAGAATCATAGAATATCAGGGTTGGAAGGGACCTCAGGAGGTCATCTAGTCCAACCCCCTGCTGAAAGCAGGACTAATTCCCAACTAAATCATCCCAGCCAGGGCTTTGTCAAGCCGGGCCTTAAAAACCTCCAAAGAAGGAAACTCCACCACCTCCCTAGGTAACGCATTCCAGTGCTTCACCACCCTCCTAGTGAAAAAGTTTTTCCTAATATCCAACCTAGACCTCCCCCACACTCCCTTCCCCAGAGCCTGCAGAGAAGTGTCTTTTCCCAAAAGTTAACAAATTTGGATTTCTCTCTCAAAGCACTGCATTTCTTCCATGTGACCCCTTATATGTGGAACACTTTCCCTAAATCTATGTGGACAGCCACTTCTTTCAGAGTAGCAGCCGTGTTAGTCTGTATTCGCAAAAAGAACAGGAGTACTTGTGGCACCTTAGAGACTAATAAATTTGTTAGTCTCTAAGGTGCCACAAGCCACTTCTTTGTGATCCAGCTCCCTTCTTAAGGCACATACCTATCACCTTGTCCGTGGTAAACTCCGTAATAAAGACTATTGGGCAAGGGTTAGGATATGTCTACGCTGCAATTAAAAACCTGTGGCTGGATTGTGCTAGCTGACTCGGGCTCACAGGCCTCGGGCTGAGGGGCTGTTTAATTGCAATGTAGATGTTTGGGCTCAGGCTGGACCCTCTGAGGTGGGAGGGTCCCAAAGCTCGACCTGCAGCCTGAGCCCGAATGTCTACACTGCAGTTAAAGAACCCTTCAGCCTGAGCCCTATGAGCCTGAGTAAGCTGGCACAGGCCAGCTGCGGATGTCTAACTGCATTGTAGATGTACCCATAGTGCATCTAACATTTTTCATACATATTAAAAAAAAAACCCAAATTATGAATCCTCAATTTTACACTTGGACAAAGGCAAACTTGGGAAGATGAATAGCATGGGAGTGTTAAGAATGGTAATGCCTTGCAAAGTAAATTTGTGTATGTGTGCGTGTGTGCATTGTCTGGTTTCAGTCTCAGTGGCGTGGCTACAAGCAGCGAAAGGAATACCAAGATCGCTTGGAGTACCTGCGAGCACACAAGGACCAAGTAGTGAAGGTACAGTTTCCTTTGAAGTGTGTCTACTCATAGTCATAGAAATTAGAGATGGAAAAGAACTTTTAGGTCATATAGTCTATCCTCAGGAGCCAGGGCAGAATCATTCAGTATCATGGATTATGTACTGTTTCTAGTTCTTTGTCCAGTGTAGTTTTAAAAATCAACAGGGCTTCTTCTTCTTTTCCCGATAGAAAATTCCACTGCCTCACTGATCCCATGGTCAGAAAGTTTTTTCTAATGTTCATTCTAAATCCTTCTCTAACTTTACCCCATTCTCCTAATTATACTCCCTCCTTGTGTATGATCCTAAATAATCCCTCTCCCTTCCTGGCATTGATATCCTTCAAATATTTATAGAATGTTAGGATTTGCTTCTCTCCTTCCTCATCTGTAATTTAGCCAAAATTTACATATTTAGCATCAATTCCTCTAGCTCTGTGATAATTTTTGTTGCATTTCTTTAAATTCCTGCTAATTCCTCAATGTCTTTGTGGCAATAAGGTTGTTGTGGGACCCTGTAATGGAGGAAAGAGTTTATCTCTATCTGAGTGTCTCATTACTACTTCACAGATTCAGTCAATGACCAGGATGTATCAAGCCAGAAAGCGGTACAGAGATCGTCTGCAGTATTTCAGAGACCATGTAAGAGTCTCTCTGCTACACTAGTTTTAATATATATTTTCTGTATTACACAGTGAATGAAATGATGTGGGATTTTTTTTCCTCCTAGATAAATGACATTGTAAAAATCCAGGCTTTTATTCGTGCAAATAAAGCACGAGATGACTACAAAACTCTCAGTAAGTATTGCCAAGGGAATGAGGCTTATATACCTGAAGAGTCAGTATTTCCATGGCACACTGCTAATGTAGTCTGTATCACTGTAGACCATTTAGAAGAGTAGTAGTATGGGAGGGATTTGGGGTGGTATTGGTAGGGGAGAGTGTAAGGTTGGGGAACATTGGGTGAGAAATTTTAAATCCAGACATCACTGTAGCTACTGATGGGTAGAACTACACCTTCTCAATTAACCTGCATCACAAATTGGCCTAGATTTGATATTTGTGTGTCTCTTTCATTTGTTGCTGGTTATGCTCACGTTTTGTCCAAAAATAAGTAATTTCAAATCTTGCTAGAAGCTGTTTATATTGTGTGGTGCTAAATTTGTCAGGTGATAAACGGATACTTCATATGCTGTTAAAATGTGTATTCATTGATTTCTCTTGCTCTTTGCCTGATACTTCATTTCCTTTTAGTCAGTGCTGAAGACCCACCTATGGCTGTGGTCCGGAAATTTGTCCACTTACTGGATCAGAGTGACCAAGATTTTCAGGAAGAGCTTGACCTAATGAAGCTGCGTGAGGAGGTTGTGACCCTAATCCGATCCAATCAGCAACTGGAAAATGACCTCAATCTGATGGACATCAAAATTGGACTGCTTGTGAAAAACAAAATCACATTGCAGGTATGAACCACACTAATAGGGAAAGCCAAAGTACAGAGTCAGGCATATAGACCAGATAATGGAGAGAACCAGCCCCCCCAGCTCTTACCTGTTCTAGACAGCTCTACTAATTGAACAGTCAGTTCCACTGTGGGGAAGGAAGTGCATGTGAAACAGAGGGCCTCTGTGCAATAATCAAGGCAAGTGGAAGTTGATGGGGATTCAGAAGGACAAGTGGGTGGTTGTAGCACAGCTGAAAGAAGGAAAGGAAAGAAAAGAAATGCTTCAGAGATAGCCAAGCAAGAAGAAAGAGATGATGTGGGGGGCCTTCTGATGTGGCTGCCTGAGAGAGAGGTTTGTTATAGAAGATGGTGATTGTTCAAAAAAAAATATTACTGCTGTGCCCCTTTGATGCCATAGTCTCTTAAATAATAATTAATGTGCCCAGCACAGTATAGAACAGAGACATAGTCACTGCCCCAGTAGTATACAGTCTAAATCAGGCAAAATCACATTGCACTGTGGATCAGATACATGATAAGCCAAGGGAAGGTTGTACTGTAAATTGTGGCAAGTATCCTAGGAGGTTTGTTGTTGAAATGTTTCACAGAGAGGATAGAATTGTCTAGAGACAACTGAGTGACTAGAACTCCTGAATTCTAATCTGGTTCTGGTTTGCTGAGGGGTTTGAGCATTGGCCTGCTAAACCCATGGTTGTGAGTTCAATTCTTGAGGGGGCCATTTAGGGAACTGGGGTAAAAATCTGTCTGGGGATTGGTCCTGCTTTCAGCAGGGGGTTGGACTAGATGACCTCCTGAGGTCCCTTCCAACCCTGATATTCTATGATTCTGATTCTCTGTGCCTCAGTGTCCTCACCTCTAAAGTGGTTATAAGAGTCATACATACATATATGCATTACACAAGTAAGAATGTTAGGGAATTCAGCCCCTTAACTCCGGCAAGTAAGCAAAATACTTTTATTTTAATTTAAAAAATGCACACCGCTACTATCTTGGGCACATTCACAGGTATTGTAAAAGCAGCAGCAGCTGGACCCAATGTCTACATGTGATAACTCCTACTCAGTCCCACCATCTTTCCCTCTACCCCCACACAGAGGTCTCCCACCATCCCCATCATCATCCTCATTATGGCAAATCCCAAAGAGACATGACCTTTCAAATAGAGCACCACCTGCATCAATCTCTGGCAAGATGCTTAAAGTGGTCTGGTTGTATACTCAGTTTGTCCAGCACTGCAATCTTACTGTGCCACCGAAGCTTTTGACACTCACATGATGGCTAGTCACATAGTGACATTCTTTGATACAGATGCTTAAGAATTCATTGGTCTTCCATTCTAATAATATGTCTGTATCAAGAAGGCTGCCAAAACTGAACCAGAGCTGACTGGAGATGGTTACTAGGTTCAGTTTTTAATAGCCTTGTTTATGAGATGTGACATGGGTCAGCTGATGAAGATGACGAGAATGACAAATGTCAATCTGGGATTCTTCAGCTTTCCTTAGCACCCATATGTCACTTCCATACAATAGAGTGAGTATGACTGTGCTTTTATAGATCCACAGCTTTGTAGCAAGCTTGATATTACAACATCCTCATCGATTCATAGACTTTAAGGTCAGAAGGGACCATCATGATCATCTAGTCTGACCTCCTGCACGTTGCAGACCACAGAACCTCGCCCACCCACTCCTGAAATACACCCTAACCTCTGGCTGAGTTACTGAAATCCTCGAAACATGGTTTAAAGACTTCAAGTTACAGAGAATCTACCATTTACTCTAGTTTAAACCTGCAAGTGACCTGTGCCCCATGATGCACAAGAAGGCGAACCTCTCCTTCCCCCCCCCCCCCCCCCCGGATCTCTGCCAATCTGACCCCGGGGGAAATTTACTTTTCGACCCCAAATATGACCCTGAGCATTTCAGCAAGACCCACCAGCAAGAAACCTGGAAAAGAATTCTCTGTTGTAACTCAGAGCCCTCCCCATCTAATGTCCCATCACCAGCCGTTGGGGATATTTTGCTACTAACAGTCGTAGATTGGCTACGTGCCATTGTAGGCAGTCTCATCATACTGTCCCTCCATAAACTTACCAAGCTCAGGAGACTGCTGAAGGACCTGACACATGGCAGCAGCTGCTGTTATACAAGCTCCTAAATCTTTCCAGCACTATCTGTGATGCTGCCCAAATATTTAACAGCTGACACTCCGTGTCAGTGGCTCCTTGGGACAGGTTAATACTGAGCTGGTGGTTGCTTTGATGGTAAGGGCTAGGGACTTAGTTTTGTCTGAATTAATAACCAGACCAATGCACGCTGCACTAACAGTTGCCTCCTCAAGCTTATCTATCAACTAGTTCATGCCGATATTGAACAGTGGTGACAGAACAAAGCCTTGATGAACTCCCATCGAGATAGGAAACCATGCCATATATCTGCCATTGACTCTAACACAGCTTTCCATTCCATTATAGAGCTCTTCTATCCCTGTCTTCCAGGGATGTTGAGTCACCTCATTAGATTCCATAGACTTGTTCAATGCACTTGAATAAAAGGTCTGGTGAAGTCTATAACAAGTGCTGTGCATGGCATATTAAATTCAACCATCTACTCAAAAAGCTGTCTCAAGATAAAGACCTGGTTGATAGTAGAATGACCAGTCTTAAAGCCACACTGAGTACCCCAGCCTTTGCCATTGTCAATAATATGGAAGCAAAGGTTATTCCCTAGGAGTAACAGAATAATACCCAGGTAGTTGCTACATTCTACCTTATTGCCCTTTTTGAACAGATTACCCCGTCTTCCAATCATTGGGGATGAGAGTAGTATGCCAGATGGTCTAGAAGAGCCTTTGCAGCGACAGTACAGCAATACTCTCACGTGTCTTCAGCAACTCCGGGGTAATGTTAGAACCCATCATGTCTTCCCAGACTGCAGCTTATGGACTCTTTTTGGTTGAAGGAAGGTGGCTCCTGTCCCTTCTCAAATGGAAGAGGGGCGCAGGTGACAGATAATTGAGGAGCATCTTGAAATGATCTTGATACATTGATACAACTGATACTACAGGCTCTGGCCAATGTTGCTGTCCTAATTCTTACTAATCAAGATGGTGCCACCTTCTGCTGCAAACACTGTAAAGTTAACTAGAGCATGCTGAGATGGTGCCAGGCGGCAGCCTGTTCTAAACTGACTGCCTAAGACAACCACCAGGGTTTCTTATCTTATTATACAATGACTTGATGGTATTCCAAAGTCAAACCCATTCAGCCTTTGCTTTTGCTCTCAACAACTTGTCTTTGAAGACTCAAATTGCAGCCTTGGGGTTTTTTTTCCCCCTTAACTCCAACTGCTAGGAACATCTCCTCACTGATCCATGGGTGAAATTTGGAGGGTTGAGGCCCCAGCACTGAGCTGGCAACGGTCAGCACTGATTATTTGAAACAAAGCCATTCCTCATCAGATGACAGACAGAATGAGACTTCAGTCTCTAATGCTTAAGCAGTTCAGAAGAGAAAGCTGTATGATAGCTTGGTTGTAATATGAGTATTTAATTAAATCAGACTAATTTAGGCTCATTAACTTGGCAGTCTTCTAAATCAGAGGTGCACTTTTATCAGCAGAAGCGGATTGTCAGTGTCCTGTTCAATACCTTTGCAAACTCTTACATATATGACTGTTGACCAATAACAGTTAATGAAAACACAATCAATAACAGTCCTAGTGAAAACATATGGGCTTATGACTCTTTGGGAGATGGAAGAGTCAATCACCATGTCATTGGCAATCGCTAATTCCAGCATTTGCTGCCCATTCCTGTTCTTCTGCCCAATATCAAATTTCCTGAGAGTACTGGCCCAGGTGTCATTATCCTTTCCTACCTCTGCATTAAAATCACCCAGGATCATGACAACATCTCTTCTCAGAGTTTCATTAAGGATTGAGTGTAGTTACTGGGACAAATTGTCTGCAGTCGCATTGTTGGCCTTGGTGTTGATGGGACCATACACTGTGATAATGGTAAGATTCCAGTAGCTGGTACAGAAGAAGACTCTGATAGTCATTCATTAATCACACATCAGCCCTGCAATGCCCATTGGGCATTGGGTGAAAGTATAACAGCCACCCCTTCTGGAGCAACCCATCAGGGCAGCCTGAGAATAAAAACATATAGTCCTTGCTTTCATTTCATCACTTCCTGGCCAGCGCACTTCAGATAAAGCTCAGATATCAATGTTCGGGCTTTTCAACTGCTTGATGAGGAGAACGGCGTTAGTTGTTTCAGACAATGTTCGAACGTTCCGGGCACCAATTTTACTTTTGCCGCCAACAAAGAAGATACCAGAATGGCCCTTTTGCAAGGTTTCATTGGACCTTTTGGCTTCAGTGGAAGAGAAAAACACTTGGCTGCTTCAGCTGCACGGACAATTGACCAGATTGTTGCCAGTGCTCAGCTTCAGTATAAACACCTTCACAATGTGAGCGTACCAACCCTGACCACCCAGCTGCTCATCTCACCCCTTGTACAAAGGAAAGCCTAGGAGAAGAGACATGACCTGAAGGGTCAACATATTAGGGCTATGTTTAACTCATGGGGCAGCACATTCCACAGTGGAAGGCTCATCGGTCAGAGTTCCCTGCCTCCTATCCTTTTGTGATTAAATCAGGGGCTTGTTAGCTTGAATACTTCTGACTTATCTCATCTGGCATGGTATTGCATGGAGAGGGGTGGTTTCTGGGATAATAAAGATCCCCAACCTGTTTAAAGTTTTATTGGTTAAAGCCAACACCTCATATGGCACCCAAAAATAAATTGGAAGAGAGGGCAAATCAGAGCACAGATGTAATGTGCTGTATGAGTGAGGTTCTTTGACAGACTATCTACAGCATTCTGCACTAGTTGAAGTTCTGAACAGTTTTAAGATGTAGCCCTCTGTGGAGAGCATGACAATAATCCAGTCTCAGAGTGACAGAGGTCTGGATCATTGTGGCCAGGTCCTGCCTTGAAGGAGGCTGAAACCTTGGCCAAGTGTCAGTGATAGAAAGTGCCCTTATCCACTCAGAACTATGCTGGGGGGATACCCTCCCACATATTCTGAGGCACTGGGACCCAGGTGATGTTTCGCCTCCTCACCCCTTCCCCCAATATTGCCTTGGCAGAAAACTGCAGAGAGGAGACAGCCGGAGTCTCCAGCTGGAAATAATAGAAGCATCCAAACCATATCTCTGGACATTCCAAGAAATTTCTACAGTTTTGACTGGACTTTCTTTACCCTGTGCTGCTATTTAGAACATAAAAACGGGCATACTGGGTCAGACCAAAGGTCCATCTATCCCAGTATCCTGTCTTCCGACAGTGGCCAATGCCAGGTGCCCCAGAAGGAATGAACAGAACAGGTAATCATCAAGTGATCCATTCCCTGTCGCTCACTCCCAGCTTCTAGCACACAGAGGCTAGGGACACCATCCCTGCCCATCTTGGCTGATAGCCATTGATGGACCTATCCTCCATTAATTTATCTAGTTCTTTTTTGAACCCTGTTATAGTCTTGGCCTTTACAACATCCTCTGACAAAGAGTTCCACAGGTTGACTGCATTGTGTTAAGAAATGCTTCCTTTTGTTTGTTTTAAACCTGCTGCCTATTAATTTCATGTGGTGACCTCTAGTTCTTGTGTTATGAGAAGGAGTAAATAACACTTCCTTATTTACTATCTCCACACCACTCATGATTTTATAGACCTCTATCATATCCCCCCTTAGTCGTCTCTTTTCCAAGTTGAAAAGTCCCAATCTTATTAATCTGTCCTCATATTTGCTCCAACCCTCTCCCTTCCCCTCCCTCACAGTCTCTTCATCTCAACTTCACTCTACACCTGCCCCCCATACCCTCTTCTTTCCTTACCTGTCCCCTTCACTCCCTTCTATACCTTTTTCTTCTCAATTAGTTCATCCTCTCCTAAGTAAACCTAGCAAAACAAAAAATATTGTGGAACTAATGTGAGCATTGCTCCCATTCTATTGTTCGCTTTGCTTGTGTTATACCCCTTCCCCCCCCCCCGTCTGTCTGGTCTATTTAGATTGTAAGCTCTTTGGGGCAGGGAATGTCTACTACTCTGTATAGCTCTTAGCACAAGGTGGCCCCATTTTTGTGTGTTCCTTAGGCACCACCATAATAAACTTGATTCATAATAACAAAATCTGGATGTGCAGAAGCAGCTGCATATCAGACAGGACCCTGAGGTTGTGAACCTGAGTACCGCCGCTTACCTCAGTCCTACCTGGATTGAGTCTGTCAGCTAACCATCATTCAGGACTCTGGGTAAATCGGTAAATTGTACCTGGCAGATTCAATAAAACAGGCTTTGTCTGTAATCCACATATTGAAGACCTCATTCCAAACCAAATCACACTATGCCCCAGCAGTTTCATGTGCACCTTGAGCCCCACAGTACCCCAACAAGAGTGGGCCCTCAGGGAAGTGAGCAGTCTCTCAATACAACACTCTGGGTCCACTAAGAAAGAAACAACTACTCACAATGATGGTCTGTCCCAACCTGCAGCTGCAATCGAGTGAGGAACACCTCATGGCTAGTTGTATTGAATGCAGCTGATGGATTTAATTAAATCACTATGGGAATGCTATTCTTGATCATTGCTAGCAGGAAATCATCAACTAATTAAACCAGTGCAGTATCCATAGCACACCCAGGTATAAAATTGTGCATAATTCTCTGTGCAGTATTAATAAATATAGAGATTAAAGGGACATCATTTTAAAAAATGTGAATGAGGATTTGGGGGATTTAAGTTAGATTTGAGTCTCTCTCTGTCTTTGCAGGATGTTGTCTCTCATAGTAAGAAACTTACCAAGAAGAACAAGGAGCAGCTGTCTGACATGATGATGCTGAACAAACAGAGGGGAGGTTTGAAGGCTCTAAGCAAAGAGAAGAGGGAGAAGCTGGAAGCATATCAGCACCTGTTCTACTTGCTTCAGGTAAACAGCTCCCCAAAGGCTTAGAGATTTTGACAGCCTCTGGCCATGGAGACTTCTATGTCTTGAATCAGTCATCACCTGTGCACTGTGCTTTGGACCCACTATTGCCACCAGTTGTCCTGGCCTTTATGGGAGTGAATGCTGAACCTTTTTTTGTTGTTATTGTAGACTAACCCCACCTACTTGGCCAAGCTGATTTTTCAGATGCCTCAGAACAAATCCACCAAGTTTATGGATTCTGTGATCTTCACGCTGTATAACTATGCCTCCAATCAGAGGGAAGAATACCTGTTACTTCGGCTTTTCCAGACAGCACTGCAGGAAGAAATCAAGTATGTGCTGCCATGGCCTTTCCATACAGATGGCTTAAAGGACCGTTGTTATGATGGCATTTATCACCTGATGCTTGAGTCTCCAGTTTCTGACTAAGAATAATTTGGTTTTCCCTGACGCGCAAAGAAATATCTGTTAGCTTGGAGAGGAGCTATTCAGTAATAGCCATTGAGGAGAAAACAAGCCTCTTTACATTGCGTTTTAGGATGATTTTATTTTAGATTAAAAGCATCTGCTTTTCTGAGGAGGAAAATTGGCTAAATTAATCTGTTTTGGAAAAACATGTAACCACAATGTCAAGTGATTTAAACTGCTGTTGTGCCTAGAGTAGCTCCAGCTTTGTAAGCCAATAAGGAGCTTGGAAAAGGACAGCCAGGAGAACTAAGCACTTGTCTATATGACAGGTTACTGCACAGCAAGCTGGAGTGTGAATCTACAGTGCACCAACTTGCCGTGCAGTACACTGCTATGAGGACACTGCGCTTTGCAGCAGTATACTAAACCACATTGCGGGACTTTTACTATGCTGTAGCAGTGATCACACAGGATGTTACTGCATGGCAATCTGGTGCACTATAGGTTCGCGCTCTGGCTTGCTGCACGGTAACTTGCCATGTAGATAAGTTGTAAGAAACTGAAGTGCAAACTCAGCTTGTCCTGGATTTTCAACAGCTAATGAGAATGCAAGAGCTCAAATAAAGCTGTAGTAGTTTACATTCTTATAGGCTGTCAGTTTGTGGACACAGGCTCGGCACATTCTTTGTGGTCATGTCACATCATAGTCCAATTCCTCCCAGTGCACAGCTGGGGCCTCATCACTGAAAAAGAATATAAACTATCTCTCTGGAGACTTTTCTGTTAATTTGTTGTTTTCATCCTTTCAGTGAGTCATGCTATCACTAAATGTAGTTTTTCTCCTAGTCTTCTATGATGAACTGTCTCTTATAGTGAAAGAATACCGTACATATCTTCCCTGCCCCCCTCCAAAACACACCCATTTTCTCTCTCTCTCCCTACCAAAATGTTTTTAAAGTGTTGTATTTAAAAATGAAGTGCAAAATGTGCTGTAACAGCTCTAAGCCTTGGTATTCTGGGCACCAGCTAACTGTGCTACATTTTTTAGATGAAGGTGCTAAATTTTGTGCCCCATGCTGCCTCCTAGCACACCTGAGCCAGGAACCACGAAGCTCCTTAATGCACTCTTTGTTGTTACTTGTTTCATTGAAATTTTGTAAAAATCCACCAGCTTTACAAAAGAAACCAACACATTCTGCCTTAAGAAGCATGCATCATGAAATGTGAGTGTTGCAGAACTGGTAAAACTATTTCTTGTTAGTTTTTTATTCATGTTAATTCTCTTCCAGATCAAAAGTAGATCAGATACATGAGATTGTGACTGGAAACCCCACTGTTATTAAGATGGTGGTAAGTTTCAACCGTGGTGCCCGTGGCCAGAATGCAATGAGGCAGATCCTGGCACCTGTCGTGAAGGAAATCATGGATGACAAATCACTCAACATCAAAACTGATCCTGTGGACATTTACAAATCTTGGGTTAACCAGATGGAGTCGCAAACTGGAGAGGCCAGGTGTGGGAACTCTTACTACTTTGCTTTTTTACTTCTCAGCTGCCTTACGTTATCTGCTTTTTGCCTCTCTGGCTTCACTGAGTTTCTCTTCCCAATTTCCACTGGGTTTAAAGAATGTTTGACTCATCAAATCAATTCCTGTTGGGTAGTTGTAAAGTTGATGATGGAATGTGACCAACAGGCTACCCATCTAAGGTGTCAAGAAAGTCTTTCACCTTTCCTACAGGAAAGGGAAATAGACCTTGGCATCACCTGCTTTAAAGGAGTAATTAGACATCTAAGGGGTACTTTCTGAGCTATAAGAGACTATGAAGAAAGTTATCAGGAATCAGCTTCTTGTCAGTTTTGGTTGCATAGTGTGCATTTGAAGTGAGATACATACAATAAATGCTATGATGTGCAATTCTGTAGTAATTTAGCAGATATCCTTCCTCCTCCCTATCCTGGCCTATTGAGGATTCTCTGAGTAAGGGGGTCAGCTTTGATGCTTCAGGTGCCACATTTAATGCTAATTTCTAGACCACTTATATTAGGTCAGGAGTGGAAGAGCTTTTACTTGTTAGTGTCCTCTTAATTTTTTCTGCCTTACACAGGCACTGTTTGGAGTCTCCATAAGAGTAACCATCTTATAGCAAGTTAATGGCAAAGGGTTGCAATTCTCTTTATTAGTACTATTGTTTATTTTTAATTACAATAGCATCCAGATACATAAACAGAATTAGGGACCCCTTTATGTTGGATACTCTTTAAGGCAGTCCTGTTGGTTTTATTTCTCTCAGTGCATATCATTGCATGCATCTAGAACTTGGAATAGGTTCAAATAGAGATGATTTTTAAAAACACATACTGAAAAATTCTAACTGAGTGTTGCCAACAGTTAAAGTACTCTGACAGTACAAACTGAGTTTGCTCACTCAGAAATCCTTACCCTGTCCAAAGAGAGAGGTCTTGTAGTATGCTCTTGTAGCCAAAACTGGCTATGTTAAGACTGAGGGTGGGGTTAAGTTTCAGAGTTGAGGGCCTTCTGCTGACAACATCCTATAGTGTACCCTCTGGCCCTAACATCTAAGGGCTGTCAGCTTAATCATCCCAGCTACAGTTGAAGACTATGCAGAAACTTCAGCTTGTGCGAAACACAGATGCCTGCTTTTCCACAGAGAGTGTATTATACCTGTTCCCCAGAAACTGCCCAGCTTTCCAGTTTGTATCCAAGCGTTGAGCAGTTTGGCTGTTGAAATGAGCACTCTGCTCACTTGTCTGGGCTCTGAAGAGGAATTGACTAAAGCAACTCTTCTTGCTCAATCTGCATGCATGCTCTGCAAAAGGATGCTGCAGTATTTTCTCACTACGTCCAAAGAAAGGGAAAAAGAGGGCGCTACCAAGAAATCCCCAGCCCTTCCACCACCGAAAGGGAGAGCAGGAGCCCAGTCCTTCTTTGAGTTATTGTCCGCATATATTCCTCTCTGGGTGCACATGTGCCCTATGCACATGAGATCAAATTCTTTTGAACAGCAGTGTCCACTGGGGCTATGCGCTGGGAACTCTCTTGACTACCGTAGCAGAGGATATAAGGGGTGGGGCAGCCTCAACTGTCTCTCACTTCCTTCTTACCACTCTTGAGATGGAACCCTGCAGTATCCACATCTCTTCAACCTGCAAAAGATTTCTTAGATATTGTTTATTCTAATTCCATAACTACAGTATGTTAGTTAGTTAGCATACCTGTTGGTGATAAATAAATGAATAAATAAAGTTTAGATAGATGTACACTGTGGAAACGAAGCATTGATATGGTTTCTCTCCCGCAATACCCTATCACCTCCCTGTACAAAGACACACACACACACACACACACACACACACACACACACACACACACA